GATGGGCTATGCGTGCTGAGTGATGGGGCGAGCAGCGTACATGGCCATAACTAATATTCACCTCTCTTGTCAAGCAAGCAGAAGTGGGGGGAAAAGGAGAGGTTTGGGAGCTAACATGATGTCACAAGGTGGCTGATACACGCAGTAAGAAACAATTTCATGAAAAATACTTGACAAGAACATTAACAATATAATCTATCTTATCTACAGTCAGGTCCATAAATATTGGGACATCGACACAATTCTAACATTTTTGGCTCTATACACCACCACAATGGATTTGAAATGAAACGAACAAGATGTGCTTTAACTGCAGACTGCCAGCTTTAATTTGAGGTTATTTACATCCAAATCAGGTGAACGTTGTAGGAATTACAACAGTTTGCATATGTGCCTCCCACTTGTTAAGAGAACAAATGTAATGGGATAGAATAATAATCATAAATCAAACTTTCACTTTTTAATACTTGGTTGCAAATCCTTTGCAGTCAATTACAGCCTGAAGTTTGGAACGCATAGACATCACCAGACGCTGGGTTTCATCCCTGGTGATGCTCTGCCAGGCCTCTACTGCAACTGTCTTCAGTTCCTGCTTGTTCTTGGGGCATTTTCCCTTCAGTTTTGTCTTCAGCAAGTGAAATGCATGCTCAATCGGATTCAGGTCAGGTGATGGACTTGGCCATTGCATAACATTCCACTTCTTTCCCTTAAAAAACTCTTTGGTTGCTTTTGCAGTATGCTTTGGGTCATTGTCCATCTGCACTGTGAAGCGGCATCCAATGAGTTCTGAAGCATTTGGCTGAATATGAGCAGATAATATTGCCCGAAACACTTCATGCATCACTGATGAGGTGGTATGCTTAGGATCATGAGCAGTTCCTTTCCTTCTCCATACTCTTCTCTTCCCATCACTCTGGTACAAGTTGATCTTGGTCTCATCTGTCCATAGGATGTTGTTCCAGAACTGTGAAGGCTTTTTTAGATGTCGTTTGGCAAACTCTAATCTGGCCTTCCTGTTTTTGAGGCTCACCAATGGTTTCCATCTTGTGGTGAACCCTCTGTATTCACTCTGGTGAAGTCTTCTCTTGATTGTTGACTTTGACACACATACACCTACCTCCTGGAGAGTGTTCTTGATCTGGCCAACTGTTGTGAAGGGTGTTTTCTTCACCAGGGAAAGAATTCTTCGGTTATCCACCACAGTTGTTTTTCGTGGTCTTCCGGGTCTTTTGGTGTTCCTTCTTTTTAAGAATGTTCCAAACAGTTGTTTTGGCCACGCCTAATGTTTTTGCTATCTCTCTGATGGGTTTGTTTTGTTTTTTCAGCCTAATGATGGCTTGCTTCACTGATAGTGACAGCTCTTTGGATCTCATCTTGAGAGTTGACAGCAACAGATTCCAAATGCAAATAGCACACTTGAATGAACTCTGGACCTTTTATCTGCTCATTGTAATTGGGATAATGAGGGAATAACACACACCTTGCCATGGAACAGCTGAGAAGCCAATTGTCTCATTACTTTTGGTCCCTTAACAAGTGGGAGGCACATATGCAAACTGTTGTAATTCCTACACCGTTCACCTGATTTGGATGTAAATACCCTCAAATTAAAGCTGACAGTCTGCAGTTAAAGCACATCTTGATTGTTTCATTTCAAATCCATTGTGGTGGTATATAGAGCCAACAATGTTAGAATTGTGTCGATGTCCCAATATTTATGGACCTGACTGTCTACCTAATTTCTAACATATATGTATAATTTTTTTTTTAAACCACTTGCCTTCCTGAGGATTAACCCCCCCCCCCCCCTTCCTGACCAGGCCATTTTTTGCGTTATGGTGCTGCGTTACTTTAACTGACAATTGCACAGTCATGCAACGCTGCACCCAAATTAAATTTATGTCCTCTTTTTCCCCCACAAATTGAGCTTTCTTTTGCACTATAAGCAAAAAAAGACCAAAAATTTTGAGAAAAAAAAAACTATACTGTTGATGAGGCAGCACTAATAGGCGGCACTGATGGGCAGCACTGAGGTGTCACGGATAGGCGGCACTGCTAGGCGGCACTGACTGGCGCAACTGCTGGCCACTGACTGGCAGCACTGGTGGGTGCCCATCAGTGCTGCCTCATCAACGCACATCAGTGAAGGAGAAAAATTACCTGTTTGAAAAAATTTTTAATAGAAACAAAGAAACTTTTTTTTTTCTCAAATTTTTTTGCAATTTTTTTGTTTATAGCGCAAAAAGTAAAGTGCCCACGGGCGATTAAATACCACAAAAAAAGCTCTATTTTGTGAGAAAAAAATGCTAAAAGTTTTATGGGTACAATGTTGCATGACTGCGCAATTGTCAATCAAAGTGCGACAGCGCTGAAAGCTGAAAATTGGCCTGGTACAGAAGGGTGTATAAGTGCCCGGTAGGCAAGTGGTTAACTATTGGATGTGTATGGTTTTTTTTTTTTTTCCTGAAATATAAAGATATTGTTTAGTGTCACAAAAATAAAACCCAGCCTCCTCCCCTTACAGCCGGCCAATCACGCTCCTTTTTAGTAAGATGTTAAAGAAGTGACACTGAATTCTGGTTTAAAAAAATTATCCAATTCAAGTACTGTATGTGTTATTTACCCCAAAAAAGTAGTCCTTGCTGCTCTCAGAGCCTCTGAATCTCCTTTTCTTTTTGTGATCCAACTTCCTGCTATGGGCTTTGCGGTGTACATAACTGCAGCTAGCGTGAACTGCTCGTTCCAAACAGAACTGAGGGAAAAAGAGAGGTGTGGGAGCTTTGCGGTCATGGAGGATGTTACAAGGAAGAAAAAAAACAGTAATGTACAAAAAATAGATTACAGGGCCATTAACTAGTGGATGTCTATGGATTATCTTCTGAAATGTAAGGATATTGATTAGTGTCACAAAAAAACACCTGGCCTCCTTCTCCCCTTACAGCCAGCCAATCACACTCCTTTTTTGTTAAGAAGTGACACTAAACTCTGAGAGCAGAAAAAGTACTTTTTTGGGTTAAGAACACATGAATAGAATTATATATATTTTTTAATCCAGACTCCCTCTCTTGCTCGCTGTGGGCTTTGCAGTGTGCATGACTGCAACTAAAGTGCACTGCTTGTTACAAACAAATAGTGAGGGGAAAAAGGAGAGGTGTGGGAGCTCATGAAGGATATTACAAGGAAGCAGAAAACAAATAAAGAAATAATTTCATGAAAAATAGATTACAGGGACGTTAACTAGTAGATGTATATGGATTTGTTTTTCTGAAATATAAGGATATTGTTTGGTGTCACAAAAAAAAAATTCGGCCTCCTCCTCCCCTTATATAGCCGGCCAGTCACGCTCCTTTTTGTAAGATGTTACAGAAATGGCACTAAGCTCTGTTTTAAAAAATATATTTAATTCAAGTATGTGTTCTTAACCCAATAAGTACTTTTACTTCCCTCAGACTCCTCCAAATCTCCATTTAAAAAAAAAAATTTTTTATTTATGATCCACCTTCCTGATGCAGGCTATGGGTAATGGGGCGTGCAGTGTATATAGAGCAGTGTACATGACCATAACTAATATTCACTGCTCTTGTCAAGAAAACAGAAGTGGGAAAAAGAGAGGTTCGGGAGCTAACAGATGATGTCACAGGAGGCTGATACACGCAGTAAGAAACAATTTCATGAAAAATACTTGACAAGAACATTAACAATATAATCTGTCTATCTATCTCTAATTTCTATCATATATGTATATATTTTTTTTTTTTTTTTTTACAAGACATACCATAGTATCTTTATATATGTTTAAAAACTATCTATCTTATCTATATCTTTTTGTGTTTTTGTTTTTATTTTATTTTAGATACAGAAGTGAGGGGAAAGGAGAGGTTTGGGAGCTAACAGAGGATGTGACAAGGAGGCTGAAATATGAAGTAAGATGAGGAATAATATGAGGATATTGTTTAATGTCACAAAAAAAAACAATCGGCCTCCTCCTCCCCTTACAGCCAGCCAATTACACTCCTTTTTTGTTAAATGTTTAAGAAGTGACACTAAACTCTGAGAACAGAAAAAAGTACTTTTTTGAGTTAAGAACACATATATTTGAATATAAATATTTTTTAATCCAGACTCACTCTCTTTCTCGCTGTGGGCTTTGCAGTGAGCATGACTACAACTACCGTGTACTGCTTGTTACAAACAAATAGTAAGTGAGAAGGAAAAAGGAGAGGTGTGGGAGCTCATGGAGGATGTTACAAGGATGCAGAAATCACATAAAGAAATTTTCATGAAAGATAGATTACAGGGACATTAACTAGTCGATGGAGATGGACATATTTTTTGTCTGAAATATAAGGATATTGTTTCAGCTGGCCTATCACACTCCTTTTTTGTAAGATGTTAAAGAAGTGAAACAAAAATTTGGTTTAAAAAAAATTATCCAATTCAAGTATGTGTTCTTTACCCAAAAAAAAGTACCGTATTTGCCGGCGTATAAGACGACTTTTTACCCCTTGAAAATCTTCTCAAAAGTCGGGTGTCGTCTTATACGCCGGTATACAGCATACTGACACTTTTTAGGGGGGGGGTGGCACGGTGCCGCCGTCACCGTCCCCCTTCCAACGGAAGGGACACTAAGTACAGGGGTGGGCAGGGGCTGTTTCTTACCTGGCTCCAGTCCCACGACGATCCGGTCCAGGAAGCGCGGCTGCTCCTTCAGTTCGGCCACTGGATGTTCGCGCGGCTGCTCGGCTTCCGCCTCCTCACCGGTGATTGGCCGCCAGAACTGTAGCTCAGGAAAGGCACACAGGCAGCCAATCACCGGCGAGGGGGGGAGCCGAGCGGCCCTGCGAAAATCGAGTGCAGGAGCAGCAGGTAAGTGTTCAGTGTAGTGGTGCTGCTGCAACCACATATGCTGGCTGCAGCAGCACCATACTAGAACAGGGTCAGCAAGTGTAATTGGTGTCAGTGGGAGGAATAGTGCCCCAACATTGGTGTCACTGATACCAATGATGGAGCACTATTCCTCCCACTGACACCAATGATGGAGCACTATTCCTCCCACTGACACCAATGATGGGGCACTATTCCTCCCACTGACACCAACGATGGGGCACTATTCCTCCCCCCCCACTGACACCAATGATGGGGCACTATTCCTCCCCCCCACTGACACCAATGATGGGGCACTATTCCCCCCCCCCCCCCACTGACACCAATGATGGGGCACTATTCCCCCCCCCCCACTGACACCAATGATGGGGCAGTATTCCCCCCCCCCCCACTGACACCAATGATGGGGCACTATTCCACCCCCCCCTGACACCCACTATTCCACCCCCCACTGACACCAATGATGGGGCACTATTCCCCCCCCACTGACACCAATGATGGGGCACTATTCCCCCCCCCACTGACACCAATGATGGGGCACTATTCCACCCCCCACTGACACCAATGATGGGGCACTATTCCACCCCCCACTGACACCAATGATGGGACACTATTCCACCCCCCACTGACACCAATGATGGGACACCATTCCTCCCACTGACACCAATGTTGGGACACTATTCCTCCCACTGACACCAATGATGGGGCACTATTCCCCCCACTGATACTAACTATTCCTGCCACTGATACTAATGGGGGCACTATTCCCCCCCACTGATACTAATGATGGGGCACTATTCCCTGATACCAATGATGCACACTGATATACTAATGATGGGGCATTATTCCTCCCACTGATACTAATGATGGGGCACTATTCCTGCCACTAATGCCAATGATGGGGCACTATTCCTCCCAACTGACACCGATGATGGGGCACTATTCCTCCCACTGGTGTGCATTGGAAGAGGGGTAGTCTTATACGGCGAGTATAGCCCAAACACTACATTTTAGCAGGAAAAGTAGGGGGTCATCTTATACACCTAGTCGTTTGATACGCCGGCAAAAACGGTAGTCCATACTGCTCTCAGACCCTCCAAATCTCCATTTTTTTTTTCTGAGCCAACTTCCTGCCTCCTCCTCCCCTTACAGCCAGCCCCAATCTTGCTCCTTTTTTGTTAGATGTTAAAGAAGTGACACTAAACTCTGGATTAAAAAAAAAATTATATATATATATATATATATATATATATATATATATATATATTTTTTTATTATTATTAAAGTATCTGTTTTTTAGACCAAAAAAGTACTTTTTGTGCTGTCACACTCCCACTCTTTCTCACTCTGGGCTGTGGACTTTGCAGTGTGCATAGAGCAGTGCACATGACTGCAACTAACATGCACTGCTCGTTAAAAACAAATAGAAAGTGAGGGGGAAAAGGGAGAGGTGGGGGAGCTCATGGAGGATGTTACAAGGAAGCAGAAAACACAGTAAGAAATTATTTCATGAAAAATAGATTACGGGGACATTAACTAGTGTATGTGTGAATTTTTTCTTAAATATAAGGCTATTGTTTAGTGTCACCAAAAAAAAAAAAAAATCCAGCCTCCTCCCACTTCTGCTTGGCTTGCTTAGATGTGTCTAGCAGAAGTTGCCCCCCCTTGTTTCCTTGGCCATACTTCCCATCTGGGATACAGGAGTATACTCATTTTGCACTCCTGTGACCCAGAATCAGCCAATAGGGGGCTAAAAACTATATCTGTGAACAGGTACATGCAGATGCTGTTCACTGAAGATAACCCTTTTTTTTTTTTTTTTCTCAAAATATGCTTAGTTTTATTTGCTTGGCTTCTGAAAGTTGTGCTTCAAAACGTGTTTTTTATTGTCTTCATCTCAAAGATAGTTTGATTACAATATCCTTTTGTCTTTTCTCAGGTCCATTATCATGAGGAGGTGAAACATTGTAGCAGAACCCATGCAGCTGGAACAGGAATTCTAGATGTTTGATCTAGTGGAAGTGGGAGCGGGTACCTATCAAATTCAGGTACCCACTCCCCCTCCCTCCCCAAAGGTCCGCATTCTCTTAGTCATCCCCTGCACTGCCTGCAGTCTCTGGTCATCCCCTTCACTGTCTGCAGTCTCTGGTCATCCCCTTCACTGTCTGCAGTCTCTGGTCATCCCCTTCACTGTCTGCAGTCTCTGGTCACCCCCTTCACTGTCTGCAGTCTCTGGTCATCCCCTTCACTGTCTGCAGTCTCTGGTCACCCCCTTCACTGTCTGCAGTCTCTGGTCATCCCCTTCACTGTCTGCAGTCTCTGGTCACCCCCTTCACTGTCTGCAGTCTCTGGTCACCCCCTTCACTGTCTGCAGTCTCTGGTCACCCCCTCCACTGTCTGCAGTCTCTGGTCATCCCCTTCACTGTCTGCAGTCTCTGGTCATCCCCTTCACTGTCTGCAGTCTCTGGTCATCCCCTTCACTGTCTGCAGTCTCTGGTCATCCCCTTCACTGTCTGCAGTCTCTGGTCATCCCCTTCACTGTCTGCAGTCTCTGGTCATCCCCTTCACTGTCTGCAGTCTCTGGTCATCCCCTTCACTGTCTGCAGTCTCTGGTCATCCCCTTCACTGTCTGCAGTCTCTGGTCATCCCCTTCACTGTCTGCAGTCTCTGGTCATCCCCTTCACTGTCTGCAGTCTCTGGTCATCCCCTTCACTGTCTGCAGTCTCTGGTCATCCCCTTCACTGTCTGCAGTCTCTGGTCATCCCCTTCACTGTCTGCAGTCTCTGGTCATCCCCTTCACTGTCTGCAGTCTCTGGTCATCCCCTTCACTGTCTGCAGTCTCTGGTCATCCCCTTCACTGTCTGCAGTCTCTGGTCATCCCCTTCACTGTCTGCAGTCTCTGGTCATCCCCTTCACTGTCTGCAGTCTGTCATCCCCTTCACTGTCCTGCAGTCTCTGGTCATCCCCTTCACTGTCTGCAGTCTCTGGTCATCCCCTTCACTGTCTGCAGTCTCTGGTCATCCCCTTCACTGTCTGCAGTCTCTGGTCATCCCCTATACTGTCTGCAATCTCTTGGTTTTCTACTGTACTGTCTGCAGTCTCTTGGTCATCCCCTGTACTATGTCTGCAGTCTCTTGGTCATCCCCTATACTGTCCGCAGTCTCTGGTCATTTCTTGTACTGTGTCTGCAGTCCATTGGTTCAGAATATTTTTTTTTCTTGTTTTCCGCCTCTAAAACCTAGGTGCGTCTTATGGAGAGCAAAATATGGTAAGTTTTTTTATGTAAGTTCAAGTGAGAAAATTTTCAAAGGAAACCATACAAATTTGATGTCTTTTTTTTTTTGTGTGTGTGCCTAATTTTTATCATTTATTTTTTATAAACCTACAGTACAGGACACAGGTTTGCTATTCATAGATCCTGGGTTATAGGCTGCTACCTTCATATGAGTGGACACTCCAAAGCTTTGCTACACACGACACCTGGGCATCCCTGTATAATCAACTTTTCACTGTCTCATTATACAACAATAGAAGCAGTGCATCCCGATCAGTGTAACCTTGGCAAAACCTTTAGAGCCATACCTGGATCCCACATCCTTTCTATAATGTTGGTTCAGGTACTGAATTTTGCTTGGGCGCTAACTTTGGCACTTGGTACAACATGTGTAGTTAGCTACAGAGTGTTGTCCAGGTCCATGGTCCATCCCTATGGAACCAAGACTCAGAACACCCCACTAGGTGGTTCATGTGCATTTGTAGGTTGGACTGTCTCTATTGTATTGTATATATGATGAACTCATTTATATTAATTTAGCGTAGTCCATTGATCCCATGTAGTAGTAACATGTAGATATACAGGCACATAGAAGCAAAAGTCTGACAGGCCACATTCTAAATGAATTGTGGGGTTCTCCAGCTGTGCTTCATATTTTAAAGTGTCACGTTTCACTGCGGACATCCATTACACATATCCTTTTTACAATATCAATATTTACTTCTTGTGATCGATAATTTGAAGTATGAATTTTTGTGGGAAATGGACATATACATGAGTTCTTCAAAAAGTATCCACACTTTTTTTTCATTTAACACACACATACAGTTGTGGCCAAAATTATTCAACCCCCACTGAAATTGAGTGTTTTGGCCAGTTTGACATTGCTTTTGATCATTCAGTCATCTTGCTTACATTTACATTAAAGAGGCACTTGTAGGTCAGACAAATATAACATAACAGTTATAATGAAATAACCACAAATGTCTTTTCTGTGCTCACAGCATTATCAGTTTTATTCAACCCCCAAGTGACATTCAATCTTAGTACTTAGTACAGCATCCTTTTACAGTTATAACAGCTTTTAAACGTGAAGCATAGCTTGACACAAGTGTCTTGCAGCGATCTACGGGTATCTTCGCCCATTCTTCATGGGCAAAGGCCTCCAGTTCAGTCACATTCTTAGGCTTGCGCACTGCAACTGCTTTCTTTAAGTCCCACCAGAGGTTCTCAATCGGATTTAAGTCTGGTGACTGCGATGGCCACTCCAAAATGTTCCAGCCTTTCCTCTGCAACCATGCTCTAGTGGACTTGGAGGTATGCTTGGGATCATTGTCCTGTTGAAAGGTCCAACGTCTCCCAAGCCTCAGGTGTGTGACGGACTGCATCACGTTTCCATCCAATATCTCCTGGTACTGAAGAGAATTCATGGTACCTTGCACACGCTGAAGCTTCCCTGTACCTGCAGAAGCAAAACAGCCCCAAAGCATGATTGACCCTCCACCATGCTTCACAGTAGGCAAGGTGTTCTTTTCATCATAGCCTTGTTCTTCCTCCTCCAAACATAGCGTGATGATCCATGGGCCCAAACAGTTCTAATTTTGTTTCATCAGTCCACAGAACACTATCCCACAACTTTTGTGGTTTGTCCACATGGCTTTTGGCATACTGCAGTCGACTCTTCTTATTCTTTGGAGACAGCAAGGGGGTACGCCTGGGAGTTCTGGCACGGAGGCCTTCATTACGCAGTGTGCGTCTTATTGTCTGGGCTGAAACTTCTGTACCCACATCTGACAAATCTTTTCTCAGTTCCTCAGCAGTCACACGGGGACTTCTCTCCACTCTACGCTTCAGGTAGCGCACAGCAGTCGAAGTCAGCATCTTCTTTCTGCCACGACCAGGTAGCGTTTCAACAGTGCCCTTTGCCTTGAATTTGCGAATGATGCTTCCTAAGGTGTCTCTTGGTATGTTTAACATCTTTGCAATCTTCTTATAGCCATTGCCCTTCCTGTGAAGAGAAATCACCTCTTCTCTTGTCTTCCTGGACCATTCTCTTGCCTTCACCATGTTTGTAACCACACCAGTAAATGTCTAGAAGGAGCTGAGTATCACAGTCATTTTAAAGCTGCCTAATTGGTGCTTATTATGCTTGATTGCTGCTCGGTGACATCCACAGGTGTTTTCAATACCTGATGGA